CCCCAAAACCCCAAAACCCCAAAACCCCAAAACCCCGCAAACTGTAAAAATAACTGAATTTTAAAAATATTCTATAATTTATTAAATAAAATTCCATAATGAATACTTACAAAAGCCCATTCCGAGCAAGTAAGTGGCACAAAAGTAAGATTCCAGATGTTGCAAAGGCTCTGAAGTCATTTAAAACCAAAGATTTACTGTCCAAAAAGAGTTCAATTGCTCAGCCAGCAGATTTGGAGCCCCGAGACTCTAATAATCTTAACAAATACCACATAAGTGAGGATAAAGAGTATGTTTTTGCTGTTTATTAATTATAAATCTACATAAAAATACCTCGGATTATTACCTCAAAATAGTTTGAGTAATTTTCAAGATTCTGGGTTAAGTAACGTCCTTTAGAAAAATTCAACAAATAAGACATGAGAAAGCCCACAAAAATAAGAAAAAGTAAATATTTAAAGTAACCCATAGTTATCATGCAGAGAAAGAGAATGAGAGTGATGAAATGAGTCCTCAATTTGAAGATGTTTCCGAACATCATGGATCTAACCTTAAATCCAAAGTTCGAAATTTCTGGGAAGATCCAAGGTAAATTAAAAAAATAACCTTTAGAATGTTTCAGATACCTCAGTTGAACCTTGACAGCAATCGTCCGTCTACTAGAAAGTCAAAGGAAGAGAATGGCCAAGCTAAAGAATCATTTTCTCGAAAATTTGTTAGAGAGTTTTGGAGAATAATCCACAAGCAAAACCAAAGAATTGACAATCTCTTGAATTTGAATAGTGAGCTGAAACATAAAGTAGATTCAGGCTACAAAGAGTTTGTATAAATTATAAAAGAAAGGCTAGTTACCAGATAGATGAGCTCAAGCAGAAGCTTAACAGCCATCAAATAAAACTGGATATGAAATCCAACCAGAACCAGAGCCGGCAAGAGTATACTGAAAAAAACATATTTACCGATAATGCTGATCAGAATAGGGACTCTAAACAGCTGAATTATGATAAAAAACCTGAGAATATTCTAAGTGACACTTTTAATTCTAAAGGTAGGTAGTTTCAATTCATAAAATACCAGAGGAGACTATGCTAAGAAAGCTATATAAATCAACCAAGAAGCAGGCTGATGACTGATTTGAGACTTATAACAAGCATTCTATCGAGCATGTTCAACCAAAGGTATTCTTAAGAATAATTTTTAGTGAAGGATCTCTAAGAGAGAATATTCTACAGAGTCTTCCCCAGCTTTAAAAAAGAGCCTCAGACCAATTGTGAGGAATGACTACTGAATGAGGAGTTACAAGAAGTGGTCTAAAAGAAACCCTCATTGGCTACTTACAAGTAATGCAAAGAAAGATAAAGCTGGAATTTCGAAGTCCAACTCTTGTGTTAATATGATAAAGAAAAATAAAGTCAACTCATTTATTATTCCGAGTGTAAGACTTGACAGAAAACAATCTAAAGATAAGGACGATGGAATGACTAATGAGATCGAATCTCAATGACCACAAATGATGGCTCTCTTTGGTTCTCAAGTCTGTACTGAAGAGGAGATTAGTCAGATTAGAATAGATAAATCAGAGGAACTTAGCGAGGAGCCTGTCGTTATTGATGAAGACACAGGTAAGGTAATACCGGTATTAAATAGAAGTTCCCATGATACAAAAGGAAACTGATGAAGAATTAAATACTCCAACTCTCAAGAAATCCTTATCCCGGCTCAGCAGGAATCAGACAGGTTATCCTATCCCTTCGAAAGCAATAACATTAGGGTATGGGAAAGATGAAAGAAACCATGAAAGAGCGTTTATGGATAAACTTAAAACAACTGAATGACCTAAGAGGTATAAGAATATCTCTGAAAAGCAATAGCTTTATTAAAACTTTATGTTATGTGGGGTTTTGGGGTTTTGGGGTTTTGGGGGTTTGGGG